GAAACCACATGCATAACCTGATGCTACCCAGAGGGGACACCAGCCCCACACAGGCAGAGATGCCCCAGCTGGGGACTGGTTCCAGGGGCACAGTGCTGGGGGCTGCTGACAGCTCATCTCACACCACTGGCCAGGCTCTCTGCCTGCCAGCACTTGCCACCCTTGGGAAAGGTTTTCCTCCTCATTTCAGATTTCTTCCAATCAGAGAGGCCCAGAAACCTACGTCAAACCAAAACCACCAAAATACCCAGCAAAATCCCTTGAATCCAACAGCTGGAACCTCGAGAAAACCTCAGTGCACCAAGAGCCACCCTGGGGCAGGCACAGCCAGATACAGGCACTGCCCAGGCACCAGTGGGATTCCTTCAGACCCTGAGCATGTGGCAGCACCAGCACTGGTGGGCAGGACACATGGTACAGCCACATCAGCAGAGCCCAGTGCCCAACCAGCCCCATGGCATAAGTCCAGTGTGGCTCCTGCAGGACATCCACCCAGTCCCTGCCAGCACTGGTGCTGCCCCCATCATAAACCCCCAGACAGGATTAGAGAGGCTGGGCAGAGCTTTAATTACTCCTGGCTCCCTGGGGCCAAGCAGCTGAATTAACTGGCTTTGGGGCTGGCACAGCAGGGAACTGCCAGCTCACAGTTCTGGAGCTTCCCCTGGCTCGGTGGGGGAATCCCAGGGCAGGCACAAAGCCACTGACCACTCGCAGCATCCCAGACTCTGGCCTTGCCCGGGCGGGGATGTGCAGCTGCCCCGTGCCAGGACACTCAAGGAAGGGATTTTCCCTCCACGCTATTAAGGACCAACCCCACGTCCCTGAGGGCACAGCCCTGGGGTACCACAGGTTCTGTAGCAGCCTCCTGCACCGAGACCAAATCCATCACAGCCCTGGCTCGGTGCTAATCCCTGCTCAGACCTGCGCCAGCCCAGGAGGGACAGGCCGGGCGAAGGACCTGAGGATTAAGCTCATTTCAGCATCGAATTAGTCCCGATTGGGGTCTGGAGACACAATTTCATTTTCTCTGCCATGCTCCAGTGAGCGCACACAATGGCACTAATCCACCCACAGCCAGACTGGATTTGCTGGGCAGGACCCAGGTGGGCTGGGGAAGATGTGGGCAGCACAGGCACCACCGGACTGCTCTGGCTGCATCCATCCCCTCAGATCGATGCCATGCTCCAGCTCTCCTTGGGGCTGGGGACATGGTGCAGGAGCCTCCTCACCCTTGGCATGGCTGTCCTGCAGGGCCAGCCCAGCTGTCACGGCACAGGCTTTTGGATGTCTGGTGAGCAGGGAGAGCCAGAGGGACACCAGAGCAGCTCCTGCATCCCCCCACTGCACTCCCAGAGTTCATCCCCAGCAGCTGCAGCAGCTCTGCACACAGAGATGCTCTTGCACCACGCCAGCGGAGCAGGATGGAGAGGAGAAAAGCCTTGCCTTTGGAAGAGGGGATGCACAGACATACAGGGATGCTGGGAGGGGGGGAGACTAGTCAGACAGAGAATAAAACAACCAAAACACCAGTGGTTTGTGCAACAAAATTCTCAGTCAAATCGAGAGAGTGGTGAAGCACAGCGTGCATCCATTCACACACAAATATGTTCAGGGGGGTTTTGGCTTTCCTGGCCCTGGGATGGGCTGGAGCAGCAGCAGAGCCCCTACTCCTGAGCTGCACCATAAGCCTCACCGCAGCATCTCCACAAGCAGGGCCAGAGAAGCTGCACCCCTGGGCCCACAGCTCAACAGCACCAGGGTCTGGTATTCACACCAGAGAGGACAAAGATCATTTTACAGCAGTTCCAGCTGGTGCAGGGACTCAGAACTGCCAGCAAGAGCAGCCTCTTTGTCTGCTAAAGGCTTTGTAGGACCATTGAGTGATAGGGACTAGAGGCCAGACAGAATGAGCACCCAGCACATGGTGGGCAGGGCTGGGTCGCTCCTCTGGCTCTTTGAGGCAGTGGCTCTCCAGCACCAGCCTTTTCCCCAGTTCCCTCCCCAGCAGAGCTGTGCTATAAACCAGCTCATAACACAAAGTTACACTGGAAGTGGAGATTGCAAAACTCACCAGTGACTGTTTGAACCAGGAATGGGTTGGGACTGTGCTGTGGTTCAGCTATGCTCCTGAGGCTGTCCCAGCTTGGCAGCAGCACATCATTCCTGATACAGAGGGAAGCAGGACCCAGCACTCAGGGAAGCACTGGGCATGAAGCGCCTGCGAGCAGCCCGTGCTCCTGGCCCCTCTGGTGCAGCCAGATGGGTGGATTCTGCTTTATCAGCAAGTCAGCTCAGCCCTATCGGCCAGGAAGCCGTGTTCACAGTGTGCCTCCCCCTCGACGTTTCCCAACGCGGCAGGAGCAGCGGCGTGCAGCAGCCTACCTTTTATCAGCCAGCAGATGTTGCTAGAACTGTTGCTGCATGTAAAATTCAGGCATGCCCAGCACCACTTGGATCCCTGCACCAGCCATGCGGTGCCAGGGTAAACACCCCCGCCCCCTTCCTCCCGGGATCAAAACACTTGGGGGTTGCAAAATAGACACCCCATGAAAGGAAAGGCATGCCACAGAAACATTACAGCTGTCGAGGCTACTTCTCCCGGAGCGTGCCGGAGCCCCGGAGCCAGCACAGCCTCCCAGGCTGGAGCTCTGCATGGCTGCAGAGCCGAGTCCTGACCCGTCCTGGCAAGGTGGGGACTCTTACCCCAACCCTAACCTAACCATGCCCTGGCTCCCCTGCAGGGGCTGCTTCAAGGGCAGCACTCCCAGTGTGTGGCACACTGGGAGCCACCACAGCCAGGCAGGCAGAAGGATGCTGCCACCAGCACAGGTACCCGGGGGATGCTGATGGCAGGGAGGTCCCACCCAACCCCACCTGCCATCCCACTGGGCCTGGGCTCCCACCGGCTCCCCAGGGCTGCTGTGAAGCCTGTTGGGTGCGGCCCAGCCTACAGTCATTCCTTGCAAACTAGAAAGTAATTTCCCAGTTGATGGGGCTGCTTCACTGTACTCAGCCCAAAGCAGTCGCCACTCGCCGCCCACGATGTCGCAGAGCGCGGGGAGCAGGGATTTTTTGCAAGCAGGGTATCTGAGTTTTGCTATCAGTCGAAAGAGAGCTGGGAAACCCCATGGCAAAGCCTTCACAGTCACTTTGGAGTCAGCACTTCCCCTGCAGTGAGAGGGGAAGGTCCCTCCAGAGGCTCCACACGCCCTGTGCTAAGCATCCCCAACTGCAGCTCCCAGTATGGTGAGAGCATCCCTAATCCCACCCCAAAGCACGGGCCTTGGCACAAGGCAGAGGCAGCAGAGCCAGTGAGGTGGGGACCCAACACCCCCAAAGCAGGGCACTGTCGAAGTGTCACAAAACACAGAGTGGGTGACAGTCACCCGTCACGCCCTGCTCCCAGCCCAGTGTCCCTGCACACAGGCTGTTGGCACCTCGCAGCCCACAGCAGAGCTCCTCCTCCTCCTCATGCTGCACCCACAGCACAGCAGGGCACAGCAGGGCACAGCACAGCCCTCTCCAGCCCCAAGCATGAATAGCTCTCAGGAACAGTTATAAAATCCAGGGATACAGTCTCCATCTTCACATCCAGCACCCTAGAACCACACCAGGTCAGGCTGTAATCCTGATGGCTTCAGGAGATCAAGGACCTGGGCCAGGAGTCAAGACCTGGGAGGGGAGAGCTCCCACGGTGGGGGGCTGGATCCTGGTGTCCGTGGCAGTGGTCGGGCTCTCAGCACCCCACTGTGCCCGCACTAAGTGCCACCTCGCATGTCACTGCTGGGCTCACACTGCTCTGGGCCCGGGCTGGCCGCAGGCAGGCAGCTCAGTGAGCCAGCCCACAAGCAGGAATGTCCTGCTCTAACCAAGGGCCCCGCACCACAGGGACATGGTGTGCCATCCCCTGCTGTGGGCAAACCACCCGGAGCTACCCTGAGCCCAGCCCTGTCTCCCCTGCGCAAAGCAGCCCAGGCACTGTCACCAAACTGCTGCCGGTCACCGGCCCGGTGCCACGGGGGAGAACCGAACGAGCCAACAGCCCCCGCCCACCGGCGGTGCCAGCGCAGCTCAGGGCGAGCTCAGCAGTGCCGGTACTGGAGCCCCGGAGCCGCTCGGCAGGAGCCGCCCGGGCCGGGCTGGCACGATCCCGGGGCTGGCCGGGCACGGAGCCCTGACAGCTCCGTAACCCGCGGGACAGGTGGCCGCGGCTCCCGCGGGCTCCCGGCACCGGCCGCGCCCGAGCTGGGTGAAAGGCCACCGGGCGCTGCGCTCCCCGCGGTGTCGCCGCTCCCGCCGGGGAACGATCCCACCCGCCCCGCGGCGCGGAGCCGCGTGTGCCACCGACAGCACTGCCGCCATCCCGGCCCGGTGCGCTGCCTGCGGCACTGCACGGGACGCCTCGCGCTGTCCCGGATCCTCCCCTCGGCCCGGGACCGGGGCTCGGAGCCGCCCTCCGCGGCCGCCGCTCCGGCGGGGCCCGCGTGCGGAAACCGGCCCCGCTCCGCCGGCCGAGGAGCGCCCCCGCCCCGGGATGCGCCGCGGCGCCCGGCCGGGCCCGGGACGAACCCGCTGCCCCCTCGGAGCGGCCCCACTGTCGCCTCCGCCCGCCCAGGGCCCCGCGGGCCCAGCCGGGCCCCGCCGAGCCCCGCGCCCGGCCCGGCCGCGCCTGCCCGGGGTTACGAAACACCCACAGCGCGGACCGGACCGCACCGGAACGCCCGGAGCCCCGGCCCGAGCCTCGGCCCCGCTGCACCCCGCCCGGCCCCGCTGCGGAAGGCGGACGGGGTCCGTTGTCCGGGCCCGCTCGGTCCGGTCCGGTCCGGTCCGGTCCCGGCGGCGGTGATGGCTCCGCGCTCCCGCCCGCGCCCACCTGCGGCCGCGGCGGCGGCTCCGCTGCTCCCGCGGCTCCCGGCGGCTCCCGGCGGCTCCCGGCGCTCGGCTCCGCCGCCGCTCTGCCCCCGCCGCGCCCCGGCCCGGCCCCGCCCCCCCACGGCCCCGCCCCCGCCTGCCCCCGCCGACACCGGCACCGGGTAACGGAGCGGTACCGGTCACTGGGCAACAGCGCCGGGTAAGGGCACTGAGTAACGGCACCGGGCACCGGGTAACAGTGCCGCTACCGGGCACGGGGTAATGGCATCAGGCAGCGGCACTGGGTGACGGTACCGGGCACCAGCACAGGTTAGTGCCACCAGTACCAGCACCAGCTACAGGTAATGGCACAGGGTGTCATAAGTGAGCAGTGGCACAGACACTAGGATTGAAAACAGCTGGAGGCTTCAACACCAGCAGCTGCTGTAGGACACAAACCAGCAGCAGAATTTGGCAGTAAGTACCAGGGAAGCCCAAAGCAGCACCAAGCCTTGGTTCTGGGGGCAGGAATGACCAAATGAGTACCAGGTGGCCACAGACGTGACTGCAGGGCTGCGTGTGCTGACACTGGGCCCTCTGTGTGAAGCAGCCCTGGCTGCACAGTGCTCATTCCCACCACAGGCCTGGGCTGACACTTTGCAGCTACGTGCACGGCCAAGATCCCCAGTGCTGCCACAGCCTCAGGCACCTGCTGGGACAAGACACTGCATCCCCTTCTTCCAAGCTGCCACGTCCCCTGCAAGCTGCGAGGAGACCCAGGGCACTGCCAGCTCCTCCGCAGTTGCTCAAGCAGGGAAAGTTGACAGCGGCCATAAGAAAACCATCCTGAGGAGCTCTTGCACAGCTGGCACCCACAGCAGACTCCTCTGGCAGCGCTGTCACCCTGGGGCAGTGGGGTGCCCCAGGTGATGGGCACCCCAGGGTGCGGCTGCCGTGCGGTGATGGGCAGAGGCGGCAGCAGGAAGCAATACTGGGTGTGATCGTTCTGCCCCAGCGCTCGCACCCACCACATGGGATCTCCTGGGCTTTCACTTTCGCTACCGACTCATCTTCTGTGGCCTGAAAAAACTCCGGAGGGAAATTCAGCAGCCAGGTCCCTCTCCTGCTCCAGGCTGGTGGAAGCACAGGTGAGCTTTCACCAGTGGGAATCCAGGAAGGAGGGGCTCGTCTCTCCTTGTGCCAGTGCTGGAACAGGATCATTCTCAGACAGCTGCTGCACCAACAATTGCAAATCACTTGGCCACTGTGTCAGAGCACAGCCCAGGTTCCCACCTCTCTGCTCTTGAACTAAAGTCCTCTGGCTCCAGGCTCCTCACTGCCTCGTCCAGCTCCACGCTCCCAAGAGATAAATACCTGTGGGCTGGGCAGGGACCAGCCCAGCACCTGCTCCATGCAAATGCCAGCCACAAAACGGTGCTTTCCAACTCGCCAGCCCCACTCTGTGCCCGGAGCAGCCTTGGTGAATGACTGAATGAGTGACTCCAGCCCAAACAGCCCCCAGCTCCCACAAACTGTTCTGCTGCCTGCGCTCACCCGCTTGGGAGAATCTCACGCACACAGGCTGACACATCACTGCTGAGCCGCTGCCAGCAGAGCCCTGGCTGCAGTTCCCAGTGCTCCTGGGGCACCCCAGACCTCACCGAGAGGTGAGCTGGGACCCTGGCAAGCAGGGACAGGCACCCAAGGTGAAGCCAGCAGCTCCCACACGGTCTGTATGCCACGAGACAGAGGAAAAGGAATGCAGAATGCAGCACAGGGCCCTGGTGCCTGCCCACCCTGCTGGGCTGGGATGCTCTTGCTCTGGTGAGTTGCATCACACGGACACGCGGCTTTCACAATCCCTGGCCCCCATAACCCCTTGGCGCAGTCAGCCAGGAGGGCACTGCCTGCTCCGGCCCCAGAAATCAAGGTCACACACAATGTCTGTGGCTGCTGGGGCTCTGTCTGGGCACCACAGATCCAGGAGTATCTGGAGGATCCCAGGGACACACAGCTGTGCCAGAGACCTGCACAGCTACACGTGCTTGGAAAAGTTGGAAGATGTATGCAAAACACCCTCTGTTCCCTCTCATTCCCTCCTTTCTCCCTCCCCTTCTGCTACAAAGGGGGGGAAAAGGAAAAATGAATTAGTGTTGGGAGAGAGTGGAGAGTGCTCCATGCTGAGAAGACAAATGGAATTCAATAAAATCCAATCACAATTTGTTTTCACCAGGTCCCAAGGAAAACTCCAAGCTGGCTGGTGGGGATGTTACCAGGAGAAATTCTTTCTTTCCAGAGGAAAAGAACACAGGAACAGTGACTGAAGCAGTGACCAATGGAGAGGCTGCCCCTGGATCTGCCCTGAAACTCCATCCTAGCGATGCCCCGAAGCGATCTTAGCCCTGCCCTGGCTCTCTTGGGGCCTCAGAAGGTGTCGGGAAGCCTCTGGGAAGGTGAGCGTTATCCGGGCTGAGCCGCAGCGGACGCACGGCCACCTCGCATGAGCTCAGCAGGATGCCGAATGACGCCGGCATTCCGGGGACTGAGGGAGTCTGCAGCTCCGTAATGGATTTCCGAGAAAATTGCCTCTGTGTTTGGAGCAGGAGTGCAGCGAGTGCGGGCGGAACAGCCTTCCTTTCTAAGTGGCATCTCAAGGGTCTTAATTATTTATCAGGAGTGGAAGCATTTATTTAGGCGGCTTTGGAGAGGTCCTGACGCTTTTGGCCACTGCCCTCCGGGTACATCCTGTATGCGAGGCTCCTCTGCAATCCTGTGCAGAGTGCTGGGCTTGGGCAAAGCACCAACACCCAACCACGGCACCTGCGGGCAGGACACGGCCTCGGCTCCATCCCCTCCTGCCTCCCGGGAGCAGGACACCTCCTGGGAGAGCCCAGCCCCATCCAATCCCTGCTTCGCAACCCTCACGCTCCCAGGTCTCAAAACAAAACCCCCTTGTGATAATCCAGCCCAGCTAATGTAAACCAGATGAATCCCCACATTAGTCACAGATTCACATTTTCCCACAAAGGTCCCACTGGAGAAGCAGTGGGGATGGGCCCCGCGGGGTTCCAGCCCTGCTGCTGGTGCAGAGTGAGGCCACAGCCGAGGGGACGGGGCAGCAGCACAGACCCTGCCAGAACCCGCCACCCATGGGTGGCACACGCCTTGGAGCCATGGGCAGGGCGAAGGGGGCACCAGAGATGCTTCTCATTGGCACAGGCTCAGCCTGATGGTGCCTAGTGCCAGCAGAGGGGATGATCAGCTCCAGCAAAAACCAGAAATGACATTTTGTCCAAGGGGGAATTTCCACAGGAAACCTCTGCTTCCAGCCACCCGGATATGGCTGGGAACAACCCTGCAAACACTTGGCCTCAGCAGCCAAGCGGTGCCATTGCTTGGGCAAAGACTCATTGTTTCCTCCATAGAAACAGCCAGGACAGGACAGCGAGAGCCTGACTGGGTCTGCAGAGGGCACCAGAACCCCCCATCAGCTCAGTGAGTATCTGCACCCGACAGGGCACGGGGGCCCTGCAGCACCCACAGCCCAGCTGGGACAAGGGCACAATCATCTCATGCCCACCCCAGTGCCGGGGCTGGCTGGGGGCAGCAGGAGCACATGCACCAGGGCTGCACTTGGCCCCCACCCCACGCCGGTGCATCCCAACATCCCTGCACATCCCCACGCATCCCTGTCCTCTCCCTGCATCCCTGCTCTCCCTTGCAGAGCTCAGGTTGCCACAGTAACCGCTCAGTCCCAGCCACTCCTGCCACAAATGTGCTGCCACAGGTCAGCCCAGAGCAGTGGCTGCACCAGGGCCAGGGCCCTTCACCCCGTGCTGGGGTGAGCAGAACCTTGGTGCTGGTGCCACCACAGCCAGATGCTGCATTCTGAGCCAGGATGCGACACCTGTAGGGAAGCAGGCAGGTTGTGTCCTCCTGGAATGGCTGGGAGGTGGTGTTTTTGGAGATCACACTGTGCTGGAGCTCTGGCTCTGACCTCTGCCACTGCTTGCTTCTGCTCTGCTGTGTATTTATCTGAGTGTGATGCAATATTTATTTGACTGTTGTGTTCTGAGCACTGGAAGCCGGGATTGGGATGGCTCTTGGCTTGGGCAGCAGTGGCATGTGCTCTGCAGCTCAGCATGTGTTGCTGTGAGAAGATCCCACCCAGCACCTGGGAGGGCAGAGGTGACCCTCAGGCCGGTCTTTGGGCAGGTGGCAACTGAGTCCCGGGGGTCTCTGCCTCCCACCCCACTGCAGCCCTGCTCATTCAGTTGCTTGGCCCTGGGATAAGATGTGGCCTCTCTAATCCCTGTCTGCTGCCTTATTCCCAAGGAACTGTCAATATTGCCCAGCTCAGACACCCCAGGTACCAGTGGGACCTTACACAAGCACCTGCTCTGGACTGCGCTGCTCTGGGGCTGCCCTGGCAGGTGGCTGCCCATCCCCACGGGGCCGCCCTGTGCCCGTCACGCCAGTGTCCGCATCCCAAGCGGATTATCTGCATTTGGAAACCCCTAATCCGTTCGCACGCTTGGCTCAGACACCGTCCCCACTCCTCCCCACTGTGAGCAGCTCTGGGCAAGGAGCAAAGCCACCCCATGACCTCCTTTCGGAGCCACAAACAACCTTCTGCCCCAGCACAGGCAGACAACAAGGGCAGCAGCCCAGCAGGGCTGAAGGAGGGGACAGGATGCTGGCAGGAGTCCCTCGCCCCACTTGCTGCTGGTGCTGCAGGGGTTTCTCAGCCCAGCACAGGGACCTTCCCTGGGCACTTTCTCCAGGCTCCAGGAGCTGCCAGCCTGCTGCTACCCACAGCAGGAACTCAGAGCTGGGAGCAGTAGCCCCTGGGCTGGTCCTGGCTGAGCAGGTGCCAACAGGGATGCAGTGGCCCCAGGGAGATAAAGAACTCCTGATCTGCAGGAATAGGGAATGAAATATGCAGGAATAGGTTCCTGACACCACACGGTTGTGGCAACCCCAAGGGTTGCAAATGAGTAAGAGAATTCCTTAGTCCTGGGTTCTTAACTCCATCCTGCAGCTGCCAGAGGGGAGCTGGTACCTGCCAGGGCAGGAGAAGGGGGTCCCTGCCAACGGGCTGGGCCTCATTCCTTTGTGAGCTGCCCCTCACCTGCAGCACCCTGGGCTGCACCACTGAGACAATGATCCAACACAGCTGCCTTAAGAGCAGGAATGGGATTGTGGGGTCTGGGCAGAGCCCTGGGTTGGTTTGACAGTGAAATGGAGGGGTCCTGGAGTGAGGTCGGTTCCCAAAGCAGGGACATGGTCAGCTGAGACCTGAGCAGGATGCTCCAGGGCACTCAGAGGGCAGAGAAGGCTCCAGTGGCACCTCCAGCGCCTCAAATGATGCAGCACAGCCAGTTCCACATGACCTGCATGAACAATCCCCCTAATCCTGCTCTGACAGAGAAATAATCTCTCCCTCTTGGCCTCATCAGAGCACAAACCCTGGAATGATCCTGTTCTCCGTGGTATTGCAGAGGGTTAGGGATGCAAGTGCTGGGGTGGGATCCACCAGGGTGCAAAGTGTGTCACTGTCACCAGCCAGCGCTCGCAGCCTCATACACCCATCCAGCCGTGCCCTGCAGAGCCTGGGACCTGCTGCCCCCAGCCCCAGCCCAGTCCATGGACCCCAGGGGCCCCACTGCAGCCCCAGACAGCCCCAGACAGCCGAGAGCAGCCCGAGCAGGGCCCCAGAGCCGCCGCGCCCTCCCACGCTGGCACCGGCATTTCCTTTCCACGAGTGGAGGAGACCCAGGCGCGGCTCTGGGGCAGAAAGAGCAAACAGGGGCTGGGGCACGGCCACTGCCCCCGGCATGGCCGGGAAGGGCCCGCAGGCCCCGCTCCGGGGCAGCTGCCCACGCGTGCCGGGCAGGAGCCGCAGCCGGTGCACAGGAGCAAACCGCAGCCGCGCACCGGGGCCGGGCTGCGCCGACAGAGGCCCCAGTTCCCGGAGCAGGGTCAGGCAGGAGCCGCAGGCAGAGCCAAGCTCACACCCCACAGCACGTCGCTTCAGGGCCTTTATTCTGGAGAAAGTTTAAGCCTGTAGATACAGCAATAAAATATACAAAAAATAAAATTTTTACAGTATTGAATGCTGCCAGGGACTGCGGCTGGAGGCAGCTATGGTGAGCGAGCAGAGGGGCAAAGGGCCCTCATCGCCCCTGAGCATCCCCAGGGCCAGCCACAGACCCCCCATCCTGCTCCTACACAGCTTGGAGGGGCCTGGCCAGACCCCAAAGCCATAGGGATCCTCCCCCCTGCCCTCTGGTTCCCTGCCCACAGCTGTGATGCAGCTCGGAGGGAGCAGCTCTCCCACTGCCTCCCCCACCCCTCCACTGCTCATCTGTGTCTGTTTGCCCACTGCATGGAAAGGGCAGGAGGGCTCCCCCAGTTTTGTTAAATGCAGGACCACAACCACCAACCCCCCAAAAGTCAGGAGACCTGCCCTTCACAACACCCCTGTCACTGTCCTGCACTGCCCCACAGCATGTTCCTCTCTCCTCACATCCACCTGCCCCCTTCGACTCTTGCCCCTTCCCACCTTAACTGTGAGGGCCAACCTCCAACACAAATGCCACATGAAGCCCCTGAAAAGCGGCAGGACCCCATGCCTGGCCCCTTATAACCCAGAGAGAAGGGGACAGGCCAGGTGCCCCACTGCCAGCCATGCTGGTTCCCCCAGTTCCCCAGGGTCCAGCTGGTCTAACTCAGCACAGTGCTGGAAGCAAGACCGAGCTCCCAGCACCAGCCTGGCCACAGGGAAGCAGGACAGCCCCTGTGGCCTCATCCAGCTCCCAGAATGGGCCACAGCTGCAAATGCTGTCCACACACAGGTGCCATTACTGGGTAGCAGCACTGCCCTACCCCAGGGACACCAGCCACCCCAAAATGAGCCTGGGCTGTCGGCATTGGCCAGACCACTGTGCCTAAAGCAGGAAGCTGGGGACAAGCACAAGCAGCTCCTGAACCTCTGGGCTCTCAGCAAACCCAGGCTGAGTCCAGCAGGGGCAGTGCCTTCTGAGTCAAGGGTGGGAGAACCTGGATACATCCACCTGCAGCTCCAAGCCCTGTACTGGTCATCCTGGCCAGAGGTCTCTAAAACCAGGTGGGTGCAGAGAGGGATCTCAGCCCAGCACCCTGCAAGCTCTAAGAGGTGCTGGGAGCAGCAGGGCAGACCCTGCCATATGGCCAATCCCCTCTGCAATTTCAGACTTGTAGGGTCTTGTGGGTTTGGGTGCGGGCAGTCAGGGCAGCAGCTTCCAGCAGCAGGACTTGGGCTGTGGAAGCGTTTGTGGGAGCCGTGGCTGCAATCGGAGGCAAATAGGCACTTGAATGAGAAAAAATAATAGAAAACTGTTATGGAAGGAAATAGAAAAAGATTCATCCCCCTCCCCCAGAGATGAGCGGCACCCCCCCAGAGAGGGGCTGCGCTGCTGGGTCAGGTGAGGACCTGAACCCGCTCAGGGACCCTGGGCCGGCTGTTGCCGAGGGCAGGCCCGGAGCAGCTGCAGCCGAGTGGGACAAATCCGGGGGAGCGCTCTGGAGGTGGGAAGGCCGAGCCCGGGGAGGGCCCCGCGCGCCGGCGCAGCCCCTCACATGGGCGAGGACGCACACTCTGGGGTCAGCTCCATGTCGAAGGTCAGCGACTCTGCGGGCAGACACAGCCAGGGTTACGGGGCCCGTGCGGGGCGGCAGCCAGGGCCCCCTGGAGCCCCCCCGACTCACCGAACTGCCCGCCCGCGTTGCTCTCTGCGCCCTCGCTGCTGTTGCCGAACTGCATGAGCGAGTCCAGGGTGCGCGGGGACATGGGCAGGTCGATGGTGTTGCTGAAGGAGGTGCTGTGCGAGGGAGAAGAAGCACAGAAAGCTCCGGAGTCAGGGCCTGGCCAGAGCTATCTAACACCCCCTCTACCCGCTGAGGGGCCCCCCAGGCACAGC